AATTTGAGCTTCTCTCGATAATGATGATGAAGAGGAAGATGAGGGTGAGGAGGAGAGTGGTAATGATGACGATGCTGGATTTGTTGGCAAAGGTTGTGGGGCTCGAGTTGTCGTTCGCTCGTCAGCTATTTTGTTTTTGTAAATTTTCAAAAATATACGATTGTATTATTTTTAAAATGACAAATTAAATTCATTATAATTTGTTGCATTCACAAACTTAAAAGAGACTGTTTGCTAATATTAAACGCTGTATGTCTATCAATAAATAGCCAATATTATACACAATTCCAAAAATAAGACTTACTGTAGCAAGCAACTGCGTATCGAGAATTTCGAATTTCACAATTACTCGTAAACCATTTTAGGTTGTTACTGAAAGACACGTAGGCGCAGTTTGAATTTGCGTAAAAATTGTCGTCTTTCCAGTTACTTATTTTTAATGTGGCGTTTGCTGTAAAAAATAATTAATTCTAGTAAATATTTTCACATTTTAAAATAATATTTATAGATTAAATTGACAAATCTTCTGCTACTGAAAAACTTCGAATAAGTTACAATATTAGCAAATAACATGAGAAAAAAACTAACACATTTGCCAATAATAAGTGATGCTTGTTAAACCCAACCAAAAATGTCTATCGGTAGTTTGTTGAAAAATTTGCTTGGCCTCATTCAATGCATCTTTCATAACTAACAAATCCCCGCCTTTCCTTAGGCAGTCATTCCTGGCCTCAAACCAGCTTGACGCGTTTGAGTTTAATTCAACACCGCATGGCAAACCGCACGTGCTGTCTAAATTTTATATAGATTCATGTAGATTACTTTGAATTAACTTTTTTTAGCTCAATTTAATTCAATTTTTTATATGAAGAAATATTATCAGTCATACTAACTTGTATATTGACAAGCGTAGTTCGATTTGTTACTGGCAGTGTTTGATGTAACAGTTACTACATCACCAGATAACTGAACACTCCCATAATTACCATAATTTTGAGATATCTTCTGGCTGGCGGCTAATTAAACAAAAATCCTAGGTTAGCAAATTTATTTAAAAAAAATTATTAATTTAAAAATTTTTGACAAAATAAATTTAGAAATTTATTTTTTTTAAATGTTAAGCAAACCTGATGTTCCGTCTAGCCATTGCCATTCATGGGAAAAACTTCTCAAATTTAACCAAAAATTGTCACTGGATATCTCTCCATATACACTCACTAGTACTTCAAACATTCTATCATCCAAAATTTCGAGTAGTTTCGAACCGTTGCTCGCACAAATGTCTTGGGCTTCTTTCAAGCTAGCAGCCAAGGTATTACCCCACCAATTTAAACAGATGTCATGCTTGCAGAAATTTTCGCTCCTTGATATATCGAAGTTGAAGATAAGAATGTTTACAACGAACAAAGATTTAAAAATCATTGTTTTTGTTTTATTAAAAAGATATATTATTAAGTTTAAACAGTGTTTTATATACCATTAAATTTAACTTAAAATCTTCTACAATTTTATGATTTAAAAGAGTTTTGTAAAAATGTTAAATAATATATATGTTTCATTAATTCATTTCATTTCAGAAATAATTACCTTTTTACAATAATTTCAAATTTTTCAAATAAAATTTCACACTCGTATAGATAGATATGTACAAATCAGACTGAAGTAATCTAGAGTTTTGCTTTCAAAAATCAAACAAATCGTTTATGAATATTCATAAATCTCTCTCACACACACAAAAACAACACACACACATATACATAGATACACACACAGTACATACAGCGTACATAGATACACACACAGTACAGCATACATGTACACACGCATATATGTATACATACGTGCACAGACATGCATAATTCTGAAGCAAATATGAGCATTGTTATGCATGGCATAGCCAAGTTACATACGTGCAACTTTTGTTAAGTTCTTTTCAGCGAAAGCCATTTCAATCATTGTCTAGCGGTAGAGTGAAATTTAAATTTAAGCTATTCGTAAATACGGATACTATGATTAGAATTTCTACTTTGCTTTGGTTGTGAATAACATTCACTCATATTACGTGATTGTGTGTGCGCGCTTGTGTGTGTGTTTGTGCGTGTGTGTATCTATGTGTGTGTGTATCTATGTGTGGTGTGTGTGTGTGTGCGGTGTGTGCGTGTGTGGTGTGTGTGTGTGTGCGGTTTAATCGGTAAGTAAAATCAAAATCATCACTAGCAACTATTGAAAATTATTTTTCATCATCAAGAATATTATTACTGATCTTTAATAACTCGTTTAACTTTAACACTTCCAAGGTAGTATAACGGTTAAGGCGTCTGGTCATGAAGTTGCAGTGACTGGTTTCGAGCGCAAACAATTCCTTCCATCCACATGTAATGTGTGTGATGTGTGATATATGTGTTTGCTTTTTTATAGCAATCTGGGTAAGAACTCTCTGAATAGTGTTTAAAATCTCATTCAGGTGTATTTTAACCAACAAACCAAATGACTAACACATTGATTAAAATCTTTATTTTAATTTAATTTCAATTTAATCTTAAATAAGAATAATAGAATTTATTTCGTTCATTGTCTGCCGGCATTATTTCCATTGGAACCGCAAAAAAATGGAAAACTAGTTATTATTATAATAAACTTTCTCCTGATTATTTTCCAAAAATATCCGTATGACGACACACACACACACACAAACCACACACACACACACACACACACTAACACACACACACACACACACATTAACATACACACACACACTCACCAACATACACACACACACACACACACAAATCAGACCAAAGCAACAGCAGGACAAGATGCTGCTGATAAATTATTTTGAGATAACTTGAATTCATTTTAGTTTGAACAATCGTTCTATATCAAAATTGATACACATCAATATATATATTCTCATTGTTTCTCATGATATCATATTCATGATTGTCGTTGTTGTTGATGATGTTGTTTTTAATGTAAAAGTTGTTGTTGTCGTCAGTGTTATTGTCGTCGTCAAGGGTTTCGACTGCAACGCTACCAACAATGTCATCATATGCTACACTGTTGTTGCTGTGGTTGCTGTGGCTGCTTCTGCTGCTGCAGTTATGGCTGTCGTCGTCGGTTTTGACTGCTACCTCTCCAACAATGCAATCGTAAACTACAATGGAGGATCTCTCATCATACGACGGATTCGCTGATTTTGTTGACGCTGGTTTTTGGACTGGTGGTGGCTTTGGTCGGGTGGCTGGTGCTTTCGGTAGTGATGTTAAATTCACTGTGGCTGTTGTCGCCGCTTCAGTGTCAGCTACTTTTATCACTGCCGTCGTTGTGCTTGTTGTCGTAGTAGTAATTTGGGCGATGTAACTTAGGGCGGAAAATTTTGTCGGCTTCACACTGCTTTCCAGATTTACTGATCTGCAAAATGGACACGTTCAATTTTTTTTTTTTTTTACAAGTTTATTTCATGTAACGCATAAAATTCTGCAGTTCTTCAACATTGAAGAACTCCATAATTTTAAACATAGGAAATTCACAAATATAAATATATATATGTGTGTGTGTGTTTGTGTGTGTGTAAAAATATATGTACCTATATACATGTGTGTGTGTGTGTGTGTGTGTGTGTGTGTGTGTGTGTGTGTGTGTGTGTGTGTGTGTGTGTGTGTGTGTGTGGTAAAAATCTATGTACATATTCATGCGTATGTGTTTGTGTTTATGTGTCTTTATGTGTGTGGGTACACCACCAAATATGGGTAAATTAATAATTTGTTACATTTTGTTAATCCTTCTTTTAGTCTTTATAACAGCTACCACCAAGACAACAACAACCATCAGTAACAGCAGTGCGAACAAGGTTAGGACCACACTTACACCCATCTTGGTCTCTCTTGATAATGATTCTATCGAAGATGATGATGATGTTGTTTGTGGCAGAAGTCTGGTTCTAATATCATCTAGTGATTTTTTTTGAATTTAAGTCAAAAAACTTTTCAGGTTTTTGCTGTATTTATTGAATTCTTTTAGATCTAAATTTATTGAGATAATTTTCTCCCGTCATCAGCTTCCATTTTGAATTATTTTCAGAAATATCAACAACACATACACGAAAACAAACACACATACACATACATACACGCAAACAAACACACACACACACACGCAAACGAACACACACTCAAACACACACACACACACACATGAATCCGCTTGAAACCACGCATCAAACACATAGAATGTAATTATCAGGTTATACTCCAACCTAGGAACTGCCACATTAGATAATAACCTAGAAACGTACAAGTTTGTCAATTTGCAACAGTGACACTTACCGTAGCAAACAACAGCAAAACCAATATTGCCGAATTCACACTTGATTGAGAACCAGCTGTATCCATATTTTTGAATTAGAAGAACACAATTCCCAGCAGAGGAAGAGGGCTGGTCGAAAAACCAGTTGCTAAGTTCCAATGGAGTTTTGTCTTTTCGGTATAAATACTTTTATTGACACTTTGCTCATTTATCAGAATTTTTTATTTCAAATTGAATCTTTTTCAAGATGTCTAAAAGATGAAACAAGTGTGAATCTTGCAAAAAAATAAAGATTGGTCTAACCAGTTTGCCAGTAGTAATTCAAATTCGTAAGGCCCACCCAGTAGGGCACGTTTCTGTAGTCTTTAAAAATCACCTTGCTATCCCTGATGGCATCTCTCATAACCAGCAAATCTCCACCCTTCCTCAGGCAGTCATTCCTGGCGTCGAACCAGCGTAATTTTTTCGAGTTCATTTCAACATTCCAAGGTTGACTGCTCGTTGGATCCGCTTAAAACATTTGATAATTTTTTTTTAATTAAAAAAATTTTTTCAAACTATTTATATGGACCAAAATTTGTTTTATTTGGTAAAGAGAACGTTGTTTTTTAAGTAAATGAACACTTACTCTGTTTGTATTGGCAAGCATAATGGAATTCATGGTAGGCAGTTTGAGACGAAACAGTCACGGAGTCATTATCTGAAAGTTCAACCACAACACAGTCCTTGTGGCTTTCAATTGCAACTTTACCATCTGCTAATTTCATACATAATTTATTGTTGTTGAATATTAAACGCATCATAATTATATATTACCGAAATCAAAATTTTCAAAATTAACAGAAATTTATTTTTTTTAAATTAAAATCAAAAACTTAACCTAACGCTGTTCCATCCACCCACTTCCATTCTTTGGAATCTTTTTCCAAATTCAACCAAATCCGATTACTAAAGAACTTACTGCTAGTTTTATTATTCAACACTTCAAACATTCTTTCATCTCTTAATTCCAGCAATTTCATTCCAGAGCGCTGACAATGATTTTGAGCTTTAGCCAATGTAGAAACAAACACTCCAGTCCAGTTCAGATAAATTCCATCTTTAAAGTATTCTTCAGATTGTGATTTTTTGACACTAACACTCAATAACAAACTTAAAACGATAAACATTTGATGAAAAGTCATTGGTTTTTTTTATTGCAGTACTATTCACTATTCAAGCTTCGCTTCTTTGGCTACCTACTAGCGAAATATAACTATAGATTTGAGTTCAAGGTATTGTTCACGTTCGCACAAATATATTTTTCTTCTATCTATGTACATGTGCATGCATTCAACAATAACACACGCATACACACATATATATTTGTGTAAAAACCCTTTTTCTAGCATCACAGTACCGGCTCGTTGTAGTAATTAAGTAATTGGCATAAAATGTTGCTTAATTATTTGATTGAATATTATTTCCAAGCAAGATTTTAACCCGAAAATGGCTCAACTTTATCAAACTACAAACTTTTATGGCACAATTTTTGTAAAATTTTGACTTGAACGACAAAAACTCAAAGACCAACATATCAATGAAAAAACCTTGCAAACATTTTTATCTATAAACAATTCCATTTAAAAAAAAACCTTTGCCCTAGACATATGATTCATCTCATAATTAGAGTTAATGAATTAATTAGAACTATTAACTACAACTTACATATAAACCTACCAAAATTAATCATAGAGAGAGAGAGAGAGAGAGAGAGAGAGAGAGAGAGAGAGAAAGAGAGAGAGAAAATAAAGAAACAAAGAAGAAAGAGAGAGACAATTTCTCGCAACAAATTTTTAAGTATTTGTGGATAATGGGATCGCGAAAATTTTAATTACCCATGGTGCCATTAATGAAACAGGATGAGAAAGACACGTCTAAAAATTCTACCCTCTCCATTTCTATCTATCTCCCTAACTCTACCCTCTTCATTTCTATCTACCTCTCTCCATCTTTCTCTCTCTCTTTTGTTGCAATTTCTTCCCAATATAACAGTACATGTATATCTCTTTATTTATTTCTCTTTCTTTTTTCTTTCAGTATTTTTTATTATTTTTCTGTCTCCATCTCTCTTTTTTATACTTTTCTCTCTCTCTTTTTTTCTCTTTCTTTCTCTCTCTATATATAAATTAATTGTACCATTTCATCTTTTTTGTGCCTAGCAGTTTAAGACTTGTGGGTGTAGACAGGTTTGATCCAGGGATTGACACGTTGGGAAAGGTGGGAAACGTTTCGTTTGTTGCTGTGGTGTGTCAAAAAACATTATTTAAGATTTTTATTTCAGCAATTATTTGAAGAAAATCAAGTGAATGGTAGTCCTTCATCGATGAGACGCAAGAATTAAGTCTACCAAGTTGAGAAGAGATATTTTGATGAGAGATTTTAGATACGATGCTTGTGTCGTCGGCATATTGATGGAAGGATAAGCCATAATTGTTAAAATTTTCAGATGAGAGACTAATATAAATATTGAAAAGCATTGGACCTAATACAGAGCCCTGAGGAACTCCGGTAGATAAACATAAAACAGAGGAGACTTGTGTGCCAAGTTTAATAAATTGGAGGCGGTTTGAAGGATACGAACTGAACCAAGTGTCACAAATCGACCAACCCACCAAAAATAAAAACTTTACCCCCGTTTACAAAGTTTGTCAAGTCTTTCTCTTTGATTATCAAGACTTTTGTGTTTGCGGGTCTGTCCTTGAGCTTTCACATGTAACATCTTTACCAGATTTTTCTTCTTGTTTTCGCATTCTTTTAACTGTTCAGACCGCTCAACTGACAATATGCCAGCGAATTTTCGTATGTAAAGACCATTTAAACCGTTATTTATGATGCCAATCTTGGTCCTCAACTTGTCCAGCACAAGCATTTTAAAGGCATGATTTTTAGAGAGTGCTTTAGATGAACATTGTTATTGTTCGTCCACAGTCTCTTTAACTTTAACGATGGCATTTAAATTTGACTCCTCCTTTAATTAATATTCATGAGCTACTTGTTCGCTTGAAAACTTTAATATTCATGTATGCGCATATATATGAAAGAAAATTTATTTATTGTTTTGTTTATCTAAAAAAAAGGAACGTCACACTTGCGTTTACCCCCTCTCACCCCCTCGACACAAAGCATCACAAATATTTGGACCCCCTCACCCCCCTTGAAGCGTGACATCATTTATGGCCCCTTAATTGTCCTCAAATTTACGATAAGATGAAGGGAATAACTTTAATGACGAAAGAAAAATACCAATAGAGTTTAATAGTAATAATAACAACAATATCGTAATAATAATTTTATTTTCATAATTAATCTTTGTATTAATAATAATTACATTTTGTATTAATTAAAAACAGCATCAGCAGTAGTATTGAATAGTGGTCGTCGCTGTTATAAAAGTAGTAGTAGTCGCTGTAGTAGTAGCAGTAATGGCATCAGTAATCTTTCGTTAAAATATTATTATAATTATTATTATTATTATTATTATTATTATTATTATTATTATTATTATTATTATTATTATTGTTCTTATTAAAATTATTTTTTTATTGATCACGAAATTTTTAATTACCCAAAGATGCGTTCACCGAAACAGGATAAAAACTCTCCCCTCTCTTTCCTCTTTCTCTCTCCATTTTTATCTACCTCCCTCCATCTTTCTCTCCCTCTTTTTTTATCATTTTTTTTCTAGTATAACAATACACGTATATCTCTTTATTTATGTTTCTCTTTTTCTGTGTTTTTTCTTATTTCTCTATCTCTTTTTTCAATTTCTCCTTCTTTCTCTCTCTTTCCCTCTCTCTCTTTCCCTCTCTCTCTCTATAAATATTTCAATAAATTGTACCATCGTATAATATAAATAATGTATGTAACAAGTGTTAAATTTAAATAGTTTTAAGTAGAAGTCAATTTTTGTTGTATCTATTTTATCAAAACTTTTATTTTAACTTGGTGTCTGTCTGTTGTTTTTTTTTGTTTTTTTTCACGGAAGTTTTTTTTATTAATATTTTTATAATGGCAACGACAACTACTACAACAACAACAATCAAACCAAGTGTTACTAACAAACCAACAACAACAACAAAAACAATCAAAGCAACTGTTACTACTATCAAACCAACAACAACAACCAAAGCAACTGTTACTACAACCAAACCATCAACTACTACAACCAAACCATCAACAACTACAACCAAACCATCAACAACTACAACCAAACCATCAACAACTACAACCAAACCATCAACAACTACAACTAAACCATCAACAACTACAACTAAACCAACAACAACTACAATCAAACCATCAACAACAACAACTAAACCATCAACTACTAAAACTAAACCAACAACAACTACAGTCAAACCACCAACTACTACAACTAAAAAACTTCTAATTCAGCAAACAACAAACCCGACGACGACATCAAAACAACGACAACTAACAACGACAACTTCATCGTCTTCATCATCTTCATCATCATCTGTAACAGCCAGAGATCTGGGGTCTTTCATGCTTGGAGTCACAGCGACGACAATAATCATTATCATCATCGTCCTCATCGTCATCTTAAAAAGAAAAAAAAAAAAGTAAAACATAAAATTAATCTTTTTTTAATTTTATTGTTTTTGGTTACTGTGTGTGGTGTACATGTGTGTCGTTAGTTTGGTGAGTATGTACATTGTGTGGTGTGTATGTACATCGTGTGGTGTGTATATGGTGTGTATGTACGTTGTGTGGTGTGTATGTGGTGTGTATGTACGTTGTGTGGTCTGTGTGTTACATTTTGAGGTGTTGTGTATGTTACAATTTTGTGGTGTTAATTTTACAGTTTTTGTGGTACGGAGGTTTAGCTTAATCCGTTTGCATAAGTGACGCCAAGGCTGTTATTGGTTAAATGGAATGAACAAGATAACAATCTCATTTCATTTAAATTAAGGTGTGATCAAGAGAAAACGAAGTCAAATGAAAACTCCAACACCACCACCACCACCAACAACAACAACAACAACAGCAGCAAAAACGTTGGGGATGTATACATTGACATATATGAAAATTCTGATTTAATTAGTGCCGACAATTCAGTATATTTTGAAAAAGACAATATCAATCTTAACAACAAACAGGACAGAAGCATCAAAAATGTTACTGAACCTACTGAAAATAATATAAACAATGGCAACCTCGCTATTAATAACGACTCAAAAGATGGAAATTTTGACAAAAATTCTGAAAGAATTGGCAAAAAACCCATCGGCAAAGTTATCAAAAACATTTCAAAAAAGCTAAACTCAACGAAAATTAACAACACTAGAAACGACATCATTAACAACAACGACAAAGACGCCATTAGTAACATCAACAACATTCATGTCAGCAACAGAAGGATCAAAAGCAGCAATAACATCAACAACAACAACATCCACAACAATAACATCCACAACAATAACATTAATGACAACAATAGTTTAAAAGTAAACTCAAATAACAGCAATAGTTACAATGAAAATTACAGCAACGAAAATGAATATGAAATTCTAAATAAAAGGTACAGCGATGAACATGTTTATTTAACACATAAGATAACTCCTATTGATACAACTACCACTACTATTGCAACTACTATTACTGCTTCGACCACTACTACTACTGCTGCTACTACTGCTGTTACTACAGCTGCTGCTGTTGCTGCAGCTACTACTGCTGCTGCTTGTATTACTTCTATCACTGCTACTACTTCTAGTAAGAACGTCAATTATAACGGTAATAGGAAAAAAAGTACTACAACTACTACCACTACAGCCACTACTACTACTACTACTACTACCACTACTACTACTTCTACTACAACCGCGAATAATAATAATTATAATAATAATAAAAATATTATAAACATAACTAATGGCTATAAAAAGATTGAAAATAAGAAGTTGAATTCAGAGCTGATGAAAAAATTTAGCGAACCTAAGGACTTATCAGTGAAAAAATGAAGAACATTGATAAGTAATAATAATAACAATATTATTATTAATTATGGTTATATTAATGATGATAATAATAATAATAATAACGATAATTATGAAGAGTAAAAACTTATTTATTCACACATTGATTTTGATATGTTTGTTAATAACTACCATCATTAACTTTAATTAATATGATATGGATGACGCTTTTGTGAACTTTTTGATTGTAATTATCGCTTAATTAAATGTATTAATAAATAAATAAATAAATATATATATATATATATATATATATATATTTGTGGGCATATGTTTGTGTGAGAACCTGTATTTGTGTGTTTATGTGGTTGTATGTTTGTATATTTATGTTTATGTGTATCTTTGTAGCACCCATTCTTCGATTTTAGCTCCAATTAGGCTAGCTTTTTATAGGATAAGAATGAAAATAGAAAATAGCCGGCAAAACATTGAAAACATAGCATTTTAAGACGCCGAATTGGACTCAAAACATGGCGATTGAAGTTGAGAAATCTCTTTAACATTATATTTTAACCCAAGTATGTACTTCCTAACCTCGCACAGCACAACAATGAATAAATTTAAATACTAGCCAGCCGAAAATTATTATTATTACTGCCACTACTATTCTTTTCTATCTCTCTCTCTTACTTCCTCTCTCTCTCTTTCTCTCTCGCTCTCTCACTTCCTCTCTCTTCTTCCTCTATTTTGAGAGCCTCGACGCGAGTTTACAATCCACAAGTTGTTAACAAGCTGACATTAACAGCCAATTTATTTGTTTCAATTTATTAAATTTATCAAAAATTATAGTCAATTGCTCAAAAAAAGTATTGAAATTTGAAATTGATTTTCATTTGAAATTGATTTGTTTTAATTTCCAAAAAAATCATTTAATTTTTCAAAAACGAGTTGCTTACTCATTTAAAAATCATGCCAACGACGATTTTGACCCAACCTACACCACCAACACTTGCACATGCTAAAAAGTTTCCAAAATTTTTAAACCTTACTAAACGACAACTACTAGCTAAGTCGTTACTACCAGCAACACTGTTTCTGACGCTGCTGACACCGGTGTCTTCGAACGAATACTGCACTGGGGACATCTGTCTTTACTACAACCAGACTCGAGCAACAAGTTTATCGGTAGCTAGAGATTTTTGCCAGAAAAATAGCTCTACACTGTTTGATATATCAGACGATAAAATGCTGGTTATTTCCAATGATATGAAAAATTATTTTAGCGCCATTTATATTGGAAATTACTGGCTGAATATAGAAAGGAGTTTCCACAAGTGGTGCTGGTTGGATGGGCTGGAATTCAACTATAGTAAGAAATTTTTTTTCATCTTTATAAATATATTGAGATTAAATTTATTATTAATCGTAGTGTCATTGCTAGTGTTATTAATATTATTAGTAGTAGCAGCAGCAGTAGTAGAAGCAGCAGCAGTAGTAGAAGCAGCAGCTGTAGCATCGTTATTATTTATAAGCTGTTGATATTGCGATAACTATTATTTGAAATTATTATATTTACGATATAAAAATTCTATTTCAAGATATTTTATTAAATTAATTTTTTATTCAAAGCTTTTGAGAATGATAACCAATGCAGTCTTTGTACGAACGCTTTTGCATACAACACGGGCGACCTTCTGAGGTTTGGGAAGGAGAATTCCAACAATAAAAACAAATACATATGCAGGAATGAGCTGAGTAAGTTTAGCTGTTTTATAATAATAATTAACGATATTTTTTAGTCGTTGAGATGGTTTTGTGGTTAGGGTGCCTGGTAGTGGTGTTGCAGTTACTGGATTCGAATGCGAACAGGTCGCAATTAAGGGTTTTGTTGTTTTAAAACTTTTGAAAACTTATTCGAAGAGAGAGAGAGAGAAAAAAAAAGAGAGAGAGTATAAAAACAGTATACCTGTTCAAATAGGCGTTCAATTAAATTATTAGAAAAAATGATATTAATTAATATTATTTAAATTCTATTTTCTTATAAATAAATTTGCGATTTTAAAAAATTTAAGCATTCAAAAATTAATCCGCTAAATTAAATTTTTCCACCCCATACGCACACACACACACAAAGACCAAATGAAACAGCCAACGTTCGGCGTTTTTTCCTGGTTCAACGCCCGAAAGAACTGCATTGAAAGTGGATCGGACTTGCCCGGCTTGAATGATTTGAATAACTTGCTCACATTACCAGCAAACTCAAAAGTTTGGGTGTTGGTCAGTCAAGGTGCATTTTACTGGAGAAACGGTATGGCTCTTGAAAATTTTTTGTACATGTTGATTCATGAGCTAAAATAAATTAACCAATCATCAGCGTCAGAAAATAAAGAACTCTTATTGGACAGATGGCATAGCGGGCAACCGATCGACCAATCAAATTGCGCCTATTACAACGTAGACTCCAATGATTGGTGGTCGGCGGATTGTTTTGGGGCTACACCCTATTACGTGGTCTGTTATAAGAAAAAAGGTATTTGATGATCTACCTCAGAAGAATATTTTAAGTTATGAATACATTAATAATATTTTCAGAGTCAACAACAGCTTCTCCAAACACAACAGCCACGGCTACGACAACCAACATCACATTAACAAACAATGCAACAACACCAACAACAAATGACAAAACATTAACGACACCAATGACATCAACAACAACAACAACACAGAAGATTTGGATAGCTTGCTTGGGCAGTCTTCTAGTACTGTCACTCAGCGCCATCCTCCTTTGTGTTGGCATAAAATACTACAAGAAAAAAATGAACAAAAATAAAAATGCTGACACACAAAATGATTTTGCCGGCGACGATGATAATGACGATAGCAAAAACAAAATTATTAAAAATAAAAAAATTTCTTGCATGGAAAAACGCAACAAAAAAATCCAAATAATCGAAAATGACATTAATAGAAGTGAAACATACGCATCCATTCACGCTAACGAAAATGACATTAATAACAGCAGCATGAATAATAATAACATCAACATTGGTGAGGATTCTAAATCAGTCCCGTTCTTAGTTGCTTGTAAGCATAAGACA